TGTAGCTATCAGCTTCGTCTTTCGTATTATTCCATGACTGCATTATAAGCGAATCGAGAGAATCGTTTCCGGTAGTCCAGTCAAGAGGTCTTGGTGCTTTACAATTCCAACAGAATGCGTTTATTTTGTCTGTAAATCGTTCCGTACACGCCAGACATAACCCGATCTCGTTTGTGAATTTAATTAGATAATATTTCTGTTCCTTTGCATTATATGTAAATCCAATAGTAATCCAAACGTTTGTTGTACATATATCTGGATGGTCTTTGCATAACTAGTGGCGAATACATTTTGTTAATGGTCAACAAATTAAATTAGCAGAATAATATATTCTGAATTCTTTACCTTGTCATAATATGAATCCTCAGTCTCTTCCGTTATTTCAAGTGGAATCAATCTTATCGTACAATGAGCGGGTAGATCGGTTAAATAAGCACTATATCTTTGAACTTTGATACGATCGAATGGAATCCATTCCATATACGCTTCATTTGCCGAGACAGTTTGTGCTTGCGAGTTCTTGATAAACTTGTCAAGTTTCTTGTTGTTGCTGGACCAGCCATCAGATAATTCTTTATGCCCGCAAATACACCACACAGAGCTACATCTGAGTATACCGCATGCGGAACAGAATCCACAGAGAGAATAATAATGATGAAAGCGTCTCTTGGCCATCATATAATAATTATCTTCATATTTGGTAAATCCACAAATCATTCGATTGCGATAAGAAAACCATTTAGAATATCTTTTGAAATGATTAACGTTGGGTAGATTAGCGTGCTCGTGTGTTGGAAGTGAGTGAATTCTCGCAAACTCATCCACAGATTCTGGTGTGCATTTTTCATGGCTACCTAATAATAACAACATTACATCACCATGTCGTTTGTGCATGGCGTAGCGGACAGTCTTGTCGCTTTCAATTTGAACTGTCTCTATGTTGGTAATTTCCGAGTGAGGAATCCATTTAAGACTATGGGATCTGAGATGTGAGGTGGATCTGATCAGATCGTTTATTGCTGAACATTCCAGAATACTAATGTCTTCAATCTCTGAGTTTGACGACATTGTTTTGAACAAACAATTGCAAAGAGTTACTGTCTCGATGTCACACAAGTAATGGTATTGTTACATCCTCAGCGTCTATGGTCATGTGATGAAAATAGAATATACAAACGACAAGTCTAAAAGGCAGCAATTGTTCAACATATTAGTCGAAAGGAATTATCCGTAGCATCGCAATAGCAAAATCAGCGATGGGCTATATATCAATGTCGATTTTTGTTCAGACTGCAATTTGTCACATTGTTTATTTCACCATCTTTTAATCACAACTGACTGCTTTTTTTATTTCGGCAGACCTCAAGCTCCCACAAATATAATGACATAAGTGAATATTAATAGCAAACATTTTTTGTACTTTAATATTTTTAGCTTTCTAGGAGTGTGAATCATTCTGGTTGTCATCTTAATAGCTTCAATCATACCATCACCAGCCCACAAAAAATCTCGTATTGTTTTTGAGCTTTGATCCATAGAGTTTTTTATTTTTTAGGTGTTTGTCCTGAACCATAATAATAGATCTTCTGGCATTCTCTTTAGCTTCGATGCCGTAAGGATTTCTTCCTCGGAATTCGTAGACTGAGGCGGATGGAGCGAAAATGTCGTAGAGCTGGTTGGGTATCGCTGGTTGGTATTCATATTAGGGGATTGGGTGTTCATAGTGGTCAGTTTAACATCCGCTGAGAGTTGGGATTCGTAGACCGAGGCGGATGGGTCGTAGAGCTGCATGGGTATCATTGGTTGGTATTCATATTTGAGGATGGGTGTTCATGGTAGTCAGAGACCGAAGCGAAAGTGTCGTGGGTATTTGCTGTCTCGTGAGATGCCCTCTTTTCGCAGCGCTTGCAGTTTCTATCAAGTTTGTGGCACCGTTCAACTTCTGCCACAATAGCCATGCTTCGAACGTAATGTACGGTGCGCATTTCTACTGACAGAGAAACGTGATAAAGCTCACTAATCCCCAATCAGTGTTGTCTGTAAAAAGTTCTTACTTCTCGGATTGGGTGCTCATAGAGGCCAGGTTAGCAAAAGCGTCGTAGATCGCGAGGAACTTTTATTCACAGCAAGGTGCTCGCTAAAGCCCAGTTAAGCTGTTTTTATCTATTTACATATGTGTTAGGGTAAATTATTTACAAACGTTGACAAACTGAGTTTTTGCGCGCTGCGATATAAGTGCTAGCTCAAGAGGACTGACGCATTTGCAGGAAAGAAGTACACACACAATGAGAATCTGATACTCAGCAATACAGATAAAGTCGAACTGACACGCTTGCAAGAAGTACAGATGCTCAATATCCTCATTAATGTTGACAAACTGAGTTCATGTCGAGCATTTATCAGCTTATTGTTATCTCTAGCTTCATTATATTGATACTCTAGAGCAGCAGTTATAAGGGATTGTATTTTGTTTGGGTAGACCCATGGGTCTATCTGCATGTCTACTGTACGGAGTGAAAGAAGGCGTCCTAACAGTTGGTCAGTGATTGGGGGAACGGGTTGTGTCCGAAAGCCCTTGATGTGAAGGCATTCCAAAGTATTGCGATTGCTGTTGATTGGATGGAACGTAGGAGTCTGTGCTGTGGTGGCGAGAGGGAGTCATCAGGGATGTTGGGTGAGCAAAAGCGTCGTAGGACTGCTTGGATATTTTCTTTTTGAATAAAAAAAAAAGAGGTATTGGGAATTGCTTGATAGTTGCAGTTGAAAGTTTTAGCACTAGGAGTTCGTGACGACCAGGCTAGCGATCGTTGAGAAGTGGGATTCGGCCAACTTCCGCACAAGAGTATAAAGCAGGTCCAGTGGACTCGCAATGTTGTCGCGTCGGGGTCTAAGGGGCATGCCACTTATTATTATACGTCACACAAGGACATGCAGAATCACAAGTTAACGGTCGAATAAGGAAAGAGAAATTCCCCAACGACAGTGACCATGTACCGGCCGGTAAGTATTAATCCGACTAGAAATTATATTTGGTGAAGAAAGCACGAGAATCGAGCGTACTATTGAAAAGCTGGCGGATTGACATTATTATCAATGAGGGAAATCTATTACTCTGATATTCTGCAATAAGTAATTACGATGTGTTACGAATTATTGTTATTGTTATTGTTATTGTTATTGTTATTGTTATTGTTATCTCGATCGAGGCTAGCTGGTATGTACAATCTCTGGCACCCACGCCTGCTTTGAAATGTACACAATACATTCTTGCGCAATAAAAAACAGGCAAAATGTTGCTTCAATAGCGTATGCTGCACGCTGCAAAAACCAAGCAAAGTTTACAGCTACAATTACAGGTCTGAGCAAACCAAGGACATAGTCTTAAATTTTAAAATTATTATACCCCAAAAAGAATTCGCAAGTTAATATTTTACCTGTAGTAAAAAAACACGGTTATCCATATACTACGACTATGTTAACCCGCGAGTTTCTGCACTACATTTATTATAACAAACATGGACGCTGAGGGAAGAATATTCAGACGAGGTTTGGGGTTGCATTGATTGCTGTCAACACTCATGACTCGAGAATGCTGGACCCCCTGAGACTGCGTTGTGACATTGTCGTATGCATACCTACTGCATAGAACGATGCCTTTCAACACTTGAACGTTATTGTTATACAGTAATAACAGTACATACTTATTATTACCCTTTTAACGCATCTACAACAATACGATTGGTAAATCCAACCTCAATTTTTACGAGCCCGTATATGTTGACGGAAAATACAGAAATACATATTATTTGTCATGGCTTAAAGACAGGGCATAGCGATAGTCCCACAATGTGTAGCCCATAAAAGGTTGTTTTCCTCAGTTACCACGGTTACCACGTTTACCATGGCATGGTTACAATAATCATGGCAACTTAATATTACAATAAACACGGGACATTCCAGTAATCACGTCGTTACACGATTTGGGAAGATCCCGCTTGTCTAACGTTGCATTGGAGTTACGTAACCGTACCATGGTGAAGTTATTACAATCGTTTTAATCTTCGGTAGGTTGATGGCATCCGAGCCAATCATTCGACCTTTTTGTTGTCAACTGCTAACTAATACCACTGTAACCATCCCTTCCTCCCTTTCTTTCGCTCTATATTCCACATACGCTCTTTTTCAAGTCCCTTCATTAGTCCCGATCAATACCACCTTTAAAACGTTCTAGCGTGGCGAGAGAACAACCATGGGTCTGTTTAACCTCGAAGAACAACTCACTTTCTATGGACAATATCATAACAACAAGATTAACGTCATTGTTCATATTGGTATGACAATTGCATTTTCATACAATTCATTGACACTTTGAACAAATACACACAAACGTTGATACGAATTTTATACCATCATATTATATCAAATCCATGGACCTTTTCGCTCAACAACGGTTCGACTTCCAACACGATACCCTTCTGGGATGCATGTTATCAAATCTTGGACTTACAAAGTCTGCGTTCCGTTAATTTTGTGGAGTGCGTTTGTATGGGCATCTAATACGGGACCATTGGTTGGAGATGATGAAGAGTCCTTGTGGAGCAAGACGCCATTCGAACCAAACCTTGCTTTTTTTGCCGCCTTATTTTATGTGTGCTACTACCTACTGTTGGAACCTATCGCCGGGGTGAGTGGAGTTCTTGATCTGAGTGAGAAGGAGTGTGAGAGAGATTTTCGTTACAACAGTGTCACTCGAAGTGACGAATGGTTTGAGGGCTGATAAGTGTAAAGCAAGAGAGAAGCGCTAATTAATCAGGTCGGGAATGTGGTATTTTCAACAATCCCGTATATAATAGTGTTTATTATTCCCGTATCTCTCATCAAGTGTGCTCCAGTCCAACCATTTGTCTCACTTTTTCAGCCAATCCGTTTTCTTACAACTCTTCCCATAAACTTTTTTACACACACTATCTCAGTTATTATATGCTCCTTTTATCCTCGCAATGGCATATAATGCAACCGAGTTTATGAAGACGTATCCGGGTCATAACTATCTTGCTGGAATCGTTCACGTTGGAAGTTGGATCAGTCAGTTCATTGGTCACGGATTTTGGGAGAAGAGAAGCCCCGCTTTGAAGGATAATATCGCTCAAGGTAATAAATGATGGTATTAGTTACTTTATTGTCACAAAATGCTTTGGTCTTTTTTATATATCGTACTTAATGATCATATATCGCTTTATGGCTAATATTGGATTATCTGATTGCAATCTAGCATTGCTTCTCGCTCCTTTGTTTGTATGGCTTGAAGTTCTGTTTGCCGCTGGATATCGACCTGCTCTACAGAAACGTGTAAAAGCCAAGGTTAATGCTGCTATTGCCAAATTTAGGTTAACGCAAACAAACGAACAGTGACATGAAATGATCTCTGCCACATTGAATCTAATTAATACATTCGAGACGTACACATATTACAGATTTGAACATTGCTAATATTGATATTTGTTGCCATGAGTAAGCATCAGTTTATGGATGGTACGATGGTTTTCCCTCATCTTTGAAAATCTTTTCTACTATACCCTCACTTTCTTGGTCAATAAAGACTTGTTTATAATTCTAAATGTTCTGGGTATGTTAGGTGATCGTAGGGTAGTTATTAGCATTTCGTTAATTTGTAAGCGAGCCAGTAATAGTAAACAGTAAATAGTAATAGTAACTGAGCACGAACATGCAATGTCTTTGCTAAGAATATCCCGAATTCTAATTATGGGGAGTCGAACTATGTTGATATTTTCACGCGACCGTAATGTGCTCTGTCATGCCAACGGTTTGACTATTTTCCAAAGTTTTTAATACGGATGTTGAGACTGACATTGGAACTGGATGCCAGGTTTTTCCCTATGAATGATGTCGATTTTCTCTAACCTATAACGACCTGCAATGGGGTGTGAACCCTTCACGTTTAGAGGGCGTATGCCTACGAATTGGATGATTCACATATTTGACTGTAATTTATTCGGGCGACGAGAATGTTCACTGCGTTGGTATCGAAAAGGTCTATTAATGTGTAATGAATGCTCATGCTGTACATCTCAATTGAGTTCAGGTCCCCAGCAGAAATCTTGGGAAATTTCCCAACAGTCAGAATCGCCAGACTTAATCCCAATTGAGAATGGGCGATTAACTTGATAAACTCCATGAGAACACATTGTGAGCTTATTATTGAGAACAATGGTGAAAGACTGCCATTATTAAACAAATATGGGGCATGCTGCAACAAAACCAGACTGCATGGGAGGAAAATACTCGGACCCAAAGCCATTTATGAGTATAGCCTATTCTTTGGTCACTCTGGTGCGAATCTAAATATTATTATTGCCATTACTAATAATGTAATCACTATCATCCATCTCTTCAAATTCATTTTCATTTTCCCACACCTGCATTTCCTTTTCTTTGTTGATCCAACGTTGGATTTTCCTCGATGGTCTTTTCCCGCGGGGTTGTTCTTTGAAGGCAAAAATTTCTTACTGTAGATGCAGCAATGGCCTTCTGTTTGCTGAGCAACTGATGAATTTCAAACTACCATTTTGTTAAATGAAAAATTTGGATCTCTATGTAATAGTAATTAATAAATTAAATCGTTCTACAAATTTTCGGTTTCGGATGGATAGTCACGTTGGCCAATTTGTTTGTCAGTCTTAGATTTTTTCTTCGCTCCATTAAATTGATTACTTCATCAATTTTTTGATTTGCAATAATAATAACGCAGCTTATCTTATGGATCATAATAAAGGGATAATTCCGATCAATAACCAAAGAATGAATTCGCTTGTGAGAGAGAACATTTAAACTGTTGGATAGATTTTGCAAAGCAGTTCGCGAAGCTTTTTCGTAAAATAGCTCAATTCTGTCGTTTTTATGGCAAATCTTTTTTGAGCCACGATATTCTAACTAAACGCGTGATGCGCGAATTTCTGCGCATATCACATTTTGAAATTCATGTTACTGTGCTGTGTTCCTAAAATATGCACATCATTTCTATGAGAGAACGTTTTAGGGACGGTGTGTTCATATATAATCAGGAATTTACCTGCCATGTTGTACAGTCTCTTATACTATTCTTCCATTGGATGCTGATGAAATGTTAACAGTTACAAGAAACATGGCATGGCCATTCAGCATGTCTTTGCTGACCAGGCTACTAATTCTAATGGTCAAATGTCTGAATATGCATTCCAAGCAGAACTTATTATTGTCTGCTTGCTGTTGCCTACCTGTGACTGTTCTATCATGTTATATCAGAGGCCAAAAAGCATGATGAATGTGGCAATTGACATCAGCATCTGGATATTTTTCTAAGAAGTAGCAGCTCTCTGCCTTTGAACTTGTTGAACCTACCCACAGTGTTTTTGATGAACACTGCAGACATGCAGACTACGTTGTTATTAGGTCTATCAGTTGATTTTGGTAGAGTAAAAATATACTTTGTGGGAAAGACACCATGGATGTCTGGCTAGATAGGGGAATTTCTCATTGACGTGTTCTTATTCTGCAGAAAATAATAACCGTAAACAGAGTGAGTAAAACTACTAAAAACTAACAATATGATCTAGACAATCAAATCAATAAAATCAAAATTGCGTGTTAAGGAAAATCAAACATATTTTAATTAATATATCAATAATATTTTTTCCGACATTTACGAGATTTATTCGAGCGTTAGCTGTAACTGCCGCTGAACTTCTCCAGGGACGCTATTGTACTCTAACACATGAAAAAAAAAATTCTATTGTTTACAAACTATTTATCATATCAGCGATGCGTTCTTGTGCAAATGTAATGGCCCAACTGAAGCAATGAAATAATGCCAGCCGACGTCTTAAAAAGAAAACGCGTGGTAATACGGGAACGGTTTACTACTGGTATTGTTGATTTTAGAAACGTAAGGCGCAATTTTTTCTCCTTGTTCTTTTCTAATAGTGCTGTAATTCTTGGGTTCCATGGCAGATTTAATGTAAATTAATTTCGTATATTTATTTGTATACAGAGAGAATCCTATATTAATAATCAAATGTTATTAGTCAAATTAGTTAATGTTCAGCCACATCAGCCATTTATGTCACATAATAGAATGTTCATTTGTCCTGGTTTTGTTGCAGCAGCATGCCCCACCCATTTTACATTTATTTATTCACTACTACTACATCGGAATTTTTTCCGTATACTGTCGTGAGATAAAATAGTTATTTATCGTCTCTGAGAAAACTCCAATATCTCCACATCCTTTCACAGAGGAGTAATTTCTGTTCAGGAGTCAAGTCAGGATCTTCAAGATCTCTGACATCTTCCAAGAAACCCGCTCGAATATTTCTACGTTTCGGCAGATGGGTCCCATACGTGTGTAACAGGTGAGCTTTCGCGAGAACTAGTCCTTCGGTCATGTAAAGAGGATGATCTTTCCGAATCAAAACTCTTTCTAATTGTCTAACGGCGAAAAGAAAAAAGTGGTTATTTATTAACCGGTCACTAACCAGAGAGGGACTGAAAGACATCATTCACAACATACCCTAAGGCTACCCTTATTCGTTGATTTCCGGCCCACCATCCACGTATTCCCAACAGACTATTGCCCAACCACGATGATGCAATATATACAATAAACAAACTGGGACCAACGGCTAAGAATGCAAAGTTCAGCTCATTGGATTTCAAAAGTTTGTCCAGCGCAGACATTGCTGTGTCCATATCAACTTTGGTTTTCTGGATTTGAATCAAGAACGTTCGAAGCAGTTTTCCTGTTCAAGTATTAAATATGTCGGGTAAGTCGTTAAATGGCTTGCATCATAATTTGTGCGCGTTATAAACTAACCTTGAACGACAGATCTGAGTGGTTTCTTAGAACATAAAACAATGTTAGATATAACGTACACGCATTATACTAATAAATATAACCGCCCATACTAGTTCCAACTCTTGTGCCTGCAGTGTACTATCCGAACAAAGTCTATATGACAACATAATGTCTGCAACCCCTGCCAATCAACCAGAACTGTCCGTATATCACCTTATCTGCAAAGGTTATTGTTAACTACACGGTAATTGATTGAAAGGGCTTACGGGGACTTTTGGCAAGAGATGTAATGCCATAAGTCACTTTAGTTGGAGCAGACACCCGGCAAGTTCGGATTTCGAACATGTATTTGATGCAACTTTGCTTTGGGGCGGGTACTGTTTACCTCTTTACCTGTAATTCGTTCTCATAGGCCCTCAATACAATTGACAAATCACCTTCTCTGACTTCTTCGGTCAGCTCAGCCAATTGTTCTTCTGTCAAGTTATTTCGCTTCTTTGCAAAGTCTATAACCATACGCTCTAAAGACTGCGAAAAACCATTTTATGATCATGTGTTACAAAAACATAACCCCAAACTTGTTTTGGTTCGTTGTCTCTTTAATTATTGATATACCCGTTTCCCACTCAAAAACAAACCTCTAAATCGGCTTTCAGACTGTTCTTTCCCATAACCGCCAGGCGCCTTTCACGATGTCGAATAGTCTCTATGATTCCCACAACTGGCTGCCAGACCCAGTCTGCCCAAAATTTTTCCAACGTTTCTGCGGCATTATTGATCAGAATCTTTATTTTCTGTTGATGACCAGTCACGTAGCGTGTGAGTTTAGTACCGAAAATGAGAACACTAATTGAAGGAAGCCAGTAGCGTGTGATAGCGGAAGGTCGGCCGTAAGTGGTGTGGATCATCTGGTTTGTAGAACGATAAGCAGGTAAATGGGTCGTGAGGATGGAACGTATATGAGTGTAGCAGGATAGGAAAGAGGGTGGCTCCGATACTTCATAATATACTTTAAATAAAATATATGGGAATTTGATTAGTGGCCTTAAATATACGGTATAGAAGGCTTCAAGTACGCTGTCACATTTCTGTCTCTTTTTTACCTACAGAACGCATCTTCAGCATCAGGCATATTGTCTTTCTCCAGTCCAACATCTCTCGCTTGCAATAGCACTCGTTCAATGATCACTATTCCCTTCATCACTTTGAATGCCACGATTTTATGCACTCTTTCCTTATCTTCTTCAGTATAATCTTCAAATTCCGGTCCCTTTCTCACCAATAGTCCCAGAATTGTCGCGTAATAATCCATGACGTCCTTTAAAAATTTCTTTTTATGTCTTATTTCCAATTTTGTTAACGATAAGATATTATGAGATGGATGAGCTATGTAATGCCTTTGAAGGTAAGAAGGAAAGAGGTGCAGCAGATTGGTGGAAGATAACATCGAGGACAAAGACCGAGAAGACCGATTATGGAAGACATCGAGACTGAGGCCGTATACACGATGTGGAGTTGCTGATTATGAGAAATAAGAAAAGCCAATCAGAGAGATGAAACGAATAAAAGATCAAACGGGTATTGAATTCGATCGATTTGAGATGACAACTTATTATTTGGCGAACTTTGTAGAAAATGCCCAAGTATCCATAAAGATCTTCCTTCGCATTCTTGCCAGTAACTGATATCATCATATAGCGGTAGGATAGCATCCAGAATGTTTTCAAGCACGTTCGCATATACCGCAACCAAAACCTTGGCCAGGAACATCCACTCCATCATTTTTAGCCCTTCTGCGATTCTACTGTTGTCGTTATCCACATCGATTTTCCAATGTTTGTGTACATGTTCTTCCATGCCGCCTAATGCGCATAGTATTCTCTCAGAAGTGGGAATTGTATTATTGTCTAAAGTTATGTTCAGAATTGATCGTTTAAGTAGCAAAGCCAACGATTCGAACGTAGACTCGCTTGTATCGGAGGTGTTAGCGCCGAGTCGTTCATAGAGATACTCGAGGGATGCCTTTGCATTGGGTGTATTAAAAAGTGTTTCGATATCAGCATTCAACTTTTGGACGTGTTCGACAATAAAACACATCTTTTGTCAAAAATAAAATGATATACTGTACATAGTAAACATAATGCTAAATACTGATGATAATACTAAATACAGTTAACACGTGAACCGGCGTAATAGACGTTGTAGAATGCGTTTGATGACTCGCATTGTGTGCGTATGTGCACCAGGCCTGTATGATAAACCCGCATGTGAAACCCTATTACAATCGGGTTTTGCATGAAAATTCCTGGTCCCCACAATCCTTTCCTTGACGTTTTAACTCCCTTGCTCAAAGAAGACCCAGAAAAATAGTGATCAAATGAGTAATATAATACCTTTTTCTAATGAAAACGCGGAAAATAATGATGACGACGACGACGGTCGTCCCGTTGTCGTAGACACAGATCCTACTGGCCGGTTTGAACGATATGAAGAGTGTTTGGGTATTGGAGCTTACAAGGAAGTGTTTAAAGCGTTCGACCAAGAGGAAGCCGTTGAAGTTGCATGGTGCCAGCTGAAAGCAAGTTTTTCGGGAAGAAAGGACGTAGAAAAGATATTGAACGAAATCTCGATTTTGCAGTCATTGCGCTGCGAAAACGTCATTAACTTTTACGCATCCTGGGCAAAGAAGGGATCCGACGGGAGAGATCATATTATATTCATAACCGAACTCATGACTTCAGGCACGCTCAAGCAATACATAAAAAGAACCAAGGGCCTTCTTAAACCTAAACTTCTTAAGCAATGGGCTCGTCAGATATTAAAAGGCCTGAATTATCTACACACGCGAAATCCGCCAATTATCCACAGAGATCTCAAATGCGACAATATTTTCATCAATGGAAATAATGGCCAGGCCAAGATTGGTGATCTCGGTCTAGCAATAATCAAAAACAGAGACCACGTATCATCGGTGCTTGGAACGGTAGTATATACTACTTTGGGTGAATTTGTGCTTCTTGTGTGGTTCCCCTGTCTTCAGATGCTCATATTAATATTGTTTGCTTTGTATTTTCATGAAACCAAATCTTGCAATACCCCCATAGCCCGAATTTATGGCGCCTGAATTATATGAGGAGAAATACAACGAAAAGGTGGACATCTATGCGTTTGGAATGTGCATACTCGAGTTAGTAAGTAAGGAGTATCCATATTCTGAATGTAATAACCAGGCACAGATCTTCCGCAAGGTTACGTCCGGTATAAGGCCACAAGCACTAGATAAAATAAAGGATCCGAAAACATTGGAGTTTGTAGAACTCTGTCTTAGGTTTGATCCAAACGAGAGACCTTCGGCTGCTGAACTTTTGGAGCATGAATTTCTGCGAGAGGACCCAAAGGATTCCGTTAGCATGATTAACGAACCAATAGCTGTATCAGAACAAACACAAGCAACTTCGCCATTATTATCTGTATCATATGATCAAAATACCCCAGAGACATTAATAGCCACTATATCGCCACCGAATCCGCAAATTATACAGCATTCGACAACTGAAACTATTACTAACGAAACCGCAAAAGTGAAAGCTCAATCGGACAACACTAACATTGAGCCATATGACCAGAAAAAACAGCTACCACCCCCTAATTTGTCAATTGCAACCAAAACCATTGATGCAGAAAGCAAAACTTACCAAGTACGGTCAGCTACTTTTCCGCCACCACGACATGCTCAACAACTAATAACGGACGCGTCTGTCGACCGGAACGTTCAGGGAGAGGATTTATTTAAATGTGATGTCAAAATTGTAGAAAAACTCACACGAGAAGAAGTTACACTGAAAATGACAATAACGGAACCAGGACAACCAGAAATGGAGATTAAATTTCCATTCAATTTAGAAGAGGATACGATTCAGAACGTCGTGGCCGAGATGGTACGTGAGTCAATTTTGAAACCGGAAGGACAAATGTTGGCGCAGCGAAAAATCGAAGATATTGTTAGTAAGATTGCTTGGGATGCACCTACGCCTGCTCAACAAGATAGACGACGGCAACAACAGCAACAACAGCAGCAACAGCAACAGCAACAGCAACAACAACAGCAACAACAACAACAACAACAACAACAACAACAACAACAACAACAGCAACAACAACAACAACAACAACAACAACAGCAACAGCAACAGCAACAACAGCAACAACAAGGACAAGGACAACAATTACCGCAGCAACAGCAACAGCAACAACAGCAACAACAAGGACAACAATTACCGCAGCAACAGCAACAGCAACAGCAACAGCAACAGCAAATACAACAATACCGGCAACAGGACGTGCCATTACAACAATCGCGACAAGGACAGCCGCTGTTGCTGCAATCACAAGAATCATATTCTAGTCTTCCACGATCGAGAACATCCTCTATCCATGGTCAAACAGAACGTTTTCATGATGGTGCACCTGACGGCTCGTCAGGAACGACTCCTACAAAAGTAACTGCCAGTGCTAATGGATTTCCCTCGCCGAATTATTATTCCGACATTTCGTCATCGTATGGAAGCATGGAATTACTTCAAACGACCTCTCACCACGGAATTTCTTCATCTGTCGAGAGCCTCCCGCATACTTCATCGACTCGACCTTCGTGGGAAAAAGAAGCCGACGACGAGGTCCGAAAAGTACTTAGTCGCAATGACAGAATGAATGATAGTTTTCTCCAACCAGCAGGTACTCAACTTACGTTACCAGCCGAAAGATCTGTAACAGAATCCGTGGCTCATGAAATTCCCGTACAATCGCCGAGCACCATGGGGACCACGTCACGCACGACAGAGGATTTCTTTTCAGGACATTCAATAAAAAGACGATCATCTTCTTTGTCATCTGCTCTGCCAGCTGAAGTTATAGCGCAACAAGTTTCCTCATCTGCCATACGACCCGAGACAGTTGCTACCGCTGTTGGAAATTCACTTGTGCCTAGTATGAATGAACCGACGGCTACTGAATCATTGTTAAAATCTCCACTACGCCTTCCTGCTCGACCGTCTTCAGAGGGAACTGTGGAACAGCTAGCAATTCGTACAGATCCTTATCGTGTGCAAGAGTTGCTTGAGACAGATGCACACACCGGTTCTAATTTCGTACCTACAGAGTCATATGATAGTGAAGGAATGCTAGTCATCGGCGAACCGCAACACGTACGGCATGCAAATTCTTCCGGGCCACAGTCTCCTGCAATAGTGCCTACTAGAGACGACCGAGCAAGAAGAAGTTCTAATCCTCTTATGCCTAATTTCTCTATATATTATACGAATACACCCCATCATATCGACGCATATCATATGTCGCATGAGCATCTAGTGAGAAAAATGCCGACTTCGTCGACCGGGTCGCTTTCGTCCGTTCATTCGATCGGTGCTCTAGACAGTTCAATTGTACAGTCGGACTTTTTGTTACGTGAGCATCTTCATCCCGAAAATTTACAGGGAACGATTGATGGGTCGGGATTGAAGACAGGAGTGAGTATTGGATTGGGGATAGCCGATGCTGGATATACATCTAAATCTCACGGTATTTCTCTTTTTACACTAATTTGTCACTATCGTAAAAAGTTTAATTTTTAATTGAATAACGTTGTTTTCTCTAGGCTATCCGCCTGAATACAGTATTCATCATTCAAATAGACATGTAAATAGTAATTCAGACGCATCACAACAACTACATTTGGATCTTTTGACCCATAGACTAAATTCTCGCTTTGCGGAAGAACAAGATGAAGATGATAGTACTGAGGATGATGAATTAGATTTAGTATCTGATTTGAGAGAGAGACAGAGGAGAGAAACGCAAGAACTACAAGCTAAACATGAGCAGGAATGGGCCGTCCTAATACATCGCAGAAAAATGCGACATAAATCCCCCCATGTAAAGGCCACTTCGTCTGTCGGAAGATCTGCTATCTCCCCACTGATGCATCGACCAGTATCCGAAATGTCAGACCATCAGGTTGGTAGTACATCATCTGTATCTTCGACATCATCGCATGGAGATTTGCGGGGCATCTTTTAATCAAACGTACGAGTGCCTGAAGTGCTTGACTAATAGCACTCACTCTACAATGATAATGAACGTAATATTAAAAATTTAATGTTTAAAATTATAATAATAGTGTATGGTATACATTATTAATAAATTAGAACCAAAAATCTAATAAGAGATTTAATCGTTAGTAAGAACCTATTCTCCTATTGTTCTTGTATCTGATTATTAATCTTCATCGGTACAGAATCCTCAAACAATAATTCATCAAACGGTCGCCAGCGATCGACACGTGAGCTCTGACACTCAGGCCCCGTCTGGCATATAGTGACAGTCTCCAACATTATATGACTCGGTGAGCATTCCGTCTGTTTTCCTGATAAACTAACTTTTCTTGGTTAGTTCTTTCTAAGTATACTTAATCTTACGTTTAAGGCATAGACGGACTTGCGCGGGACATTGTGTCATAGGCCCATTCCTTAGATGGATGCTTGAAAGCCAAATAGGTTACGTGATGTCTTTTTAATAATATATTGCTCAATGAACACTAATAATTATTAATTTGAGCAAGAATTGGTTAGGCTGGTAATAAGATACATGATTGGTTTGACAAATTGTATTTAATTCAAAGGAATAATTGTCAAGGATTTCAAGTTGTGAGTATGTTGATGGGACCACGTGTGGTTTTGCACATTCGCCAGGTAATGATCTCTATGACGAAAAAATTTTTTCTTTTTTCTTGATGAGCATCTGTTATATGGGAGCTCATTTATCATTTAAACGATAGTTTTTTTCATCCGCAAATTAGTTGTAGTCTAGTAAATATACTATCATCATTAGTTTCATGCTCTATTTATCTTCTTTTATTGGTCGACATTCTCGAATAACGTTTCCAAGGGCATGGTTGGGTTTGATAGAAATTTCTTATAGTAATGCATTTCTTTGGGTGAATTCAAACACATCCGCTAAGCCGGAAAAAACTTGAGGATGTGTTCCAGTATTTGACATGTATTGTAGTGTTTTTAACGGGCGGTTTATGAATTTTTTTTGAGATCTTACGTTAATTTCTACGAGTCGATAGTTTGAGGCTTTGATATACAGTTGCTGTGCGGCTGTGTGGCGGGGCCGTAACTCCACTCGTCATTGATTGTACGTTCTATCCAAAATGAGCGATCACGCAAAACAAAAGTAAGCTTCTTTTTTGTAAATTATAAAAGGGGGAAGGTTTAAGCCGTGAAACATATGTTATGAAGTTGGGGTTTTGGATTCGAAAACAGACGCTATTCGTCTGCTGTCGCCTATCTGTACAATTTTAGACGGAGACCTGCTTATAACGGTTTTAATTTATTTCTTTGGCAATTGTGTTATAATGACAAAATTGTGCTCATGAACAATACGTTGACAGGTAGATTGTAATATATTCCGAACTCAACTTGGTCTCATTTTGCGGAAATCGGAAACAGACTTCATGCTTTCATTATAATATTTAATTGGCTATCGCGCAATCTTTCTATTACACTTCTGGTTAATATAATTCTTTCATTACAATAGTTCGTTCTTTTGTATTCAAATACGGGTAAGTAGTAAATTATGAATGCCCACCAATAAATTAAAGTAGTTTAGAACGTGATGTACAGTACACTGAAATATTAAATGCACGAGATTTTTCAGTATAATAACGTGGGAAATTAATAAACAAACGAGGGTTTATGATTTCTGGGAAATTATTAATATGAACACAGTCCCGTGAGTTTTTTAGGGCGTCGAACCTTGCTTGATGCAGTCAGTTTCTCAAGCTTACGCCCAAATTAAGTTTGGAAGTAAATAAATCAGGATTGATTTCTTTGACACGATGAAAAGTTCCTTCGATCAATAAAATTAACGACGACAAAGATGAACAAAAAAGTCATCCTGCTTTGATTAATAAATAGTATTATTTTTATATACCCACAAGTAAACAATAAAATAGATTACATTTTAATAATTTTCTTTTTTTTTCCGGCAGTTGTCAGACAAAAAGGTAAAAAACATCTTACAAGAAGAAAAAGAAAAGAACGAAACAAATAAAATCTAAAAATATAAAGTTAACAGAAAGTTCAGCCGATACAAATATAAAATGTTCTTTCAAAAAGTAATTAACTGGCAAAAATGGTAGTACACATTCGATATTCAGCGAGTCGTTGAAACTACTTGTACAAATTCATCTCTAAATAACAATGTCTCCTTGTCTATAGTTTGCCTTGCAGTATCAATTCTATACTATTATTAATGAATTCCTTACGAGAAGACATGTCAGTATTAAACGTGGCGGTCAGTTGTTCGCGCACTAGATGGTAAGAAAGTGGAGATATTCATGTCAGTTACATTCACGTAATAAATCGCATCCCTTATTACCCCACATACCTTGTTTCTTGGTAATGCTCATAAGATTTGCAGTTGCTAGGATATTTCTGATTTCAGCCAAGACTTCCTCGTCGCTTGGCCCGTCAGAAAGCGCGGCTGAATAAGCACTTAATCGATTAACCTGAGCACCATAGAATTCCATATCCTGGTTGCGCGGAACAATCATAGAGCTTCTTGGTTCAGAGTAATAATCTCCAACAGCACTAAACGCCCTCGAGTTTCGTACTTCTGACTGTTCATATTTGGGCACGGGAGATCTCGACCTTCCTCTTGTTCTCTCAGGTGCGGCTAAATTCGTATCTCTGAAATAGTCACTCCCTCCGCCGTATTGACTTCCACCATATGCACTTCCAGCATAACTAGGCTCGTAATTCCTGTGCGATCCTCTGCTGCGGTAAGATGCAGCACTACCACGCGACACTCCTGACTCGTGTGACCCTGTCGTGCCAACTTCCCATATTTCTTGTTCGTAATCCGCCCATTTCTTCTTGGGAATAGATTTTTCGTCGAATTTCTCATCATCGGTAGTAATGATTTGTTTCTTGCCTCCCTCACCTACTACGACGCGAGTGTTACCCCATGAGAAGTCATCAAAATGCCAGAACGCATAGACTGGAATGAAGAACGAGAATAATGGGAATGCCAGCAAATATATACACATCCATCCAATGTGCTGCCATTGTCTCTTGAGAATAAAGATGACAGCCTGTAGACCGTAAACTGCAGCAATCATAACCAGTGAAATAATAGGCAATGCTTGTCTTTCCGTTGCGACTGACCATATGAGGTATATAATATAAACGACAGTCGATGGAAGAATCAAAGTACCAAAAAGATCAATAAATACCACAAATCTCATTGAGAAACAACAGAAACCACACATTTCAGACAAGAACATCAGCTCCATTAAATTGTGAACGGTAGAGTTGATCCATCTACGCCGCTGTGACAACAAGACGCTCCACTTGTCAGGTGCGGCCGTTCTACTCATTGCATCTGGCGTAAATGTCATTTTGTATTGTGGAAAATGTTTCATCATGAGAGTAGTCAGGTATCGATCTTCACCCAGAGACAACAGATTCTTCTTGTGAAGCGTGTCCACGTGATTCTCGGAGTATCCCTCAATTACGTGATTGGATATAATCAATGGAGTATTTTTGGTTGGAGTTCGGATACGATACATGCAGAAACATCCGGGCAGACAAGTGACCGACCCAAAGAGCGATTCAAATGCTTTTGCTAAATGGTGAGAGATATAATACTCGTATACTTGTATCATTGTTGTCCATGAGCCTTCCTCGTTGATCAGAGTAGTCTCACCGCATATACCAATGATGCGAGCATCGTGAAGCATACACGATATCATGCGATTCAACGAATCAGGCATTACTTCAGTATCGGCATCAACCATTAAAATATATTCGTAGAAACTGGGATTGACTCCAATGACATTCTTCATCTGATGGTAAATCTCCAATTCAAGTGGATACATCTCCAAATCAAAGTGTACTTTGTTGAGGAATCGCATTAAAATGATTTGTGAATCACGTTTACCACGATTACCGGGTCTCGACTGTTCTGACGGTTTTCCCACTTTGACGACTACTATGTATGGAACAACGTGACCTTCATATTCGTATAGACCGGAATAGACTTTACCGTAATTCAGCTGAGCAGAGCCCTCTCCGACTGACTTGAATGACAATGGTTCAGGATCCATTCTTGGATCGACTCCAAGGATATCAAGAACTATGGTGGGTGTAGGTCTGTCATTACCAGATCCGACAATCATACCATCACATATAAGAAAGATCAGTTTGCGTTTATCATCATAGGTAAGGGCTGCTAAAGAGTCCATCGTACGCCTTAACGAATCTTCCCCTTCCGTATAACACGGCACTTGGCAAATGACAAATTTATCATGATCCTCTGGCTTGCGTCTTGATCCTAATTGTAATGCAGCCAAGAATTTCACACCAATGACAGCAAACAACATGCACGAGAAAGTCAGCAGCATGTAATTATTGAATTGGCATCTGAATGATTTACGAAAGTCGATTCCACCAATATAGAATATTTGTTGTAGACAGTTGAGATTGTTTTGATAATCTTCTTGAGTGTTAAAAGCCTTGTTGAATCTGCTAGTTAGATCTTGTCCAGGAAAACTTTTGAATAGTGTTTCGACAGAGTCACTTAAATAATGATAATTAGGCCCATTTGCGGGTCGTGAAGTTTGTCCTACTGAATTCTGCGTAGCAAAATACTGAGTCAAATCATACACTCCTTCATGGATAATGGCCCACAGTCTGGGATTTTCACCTTGTCCCTGTTCGAGAACATCTTTTCGCGACCACACTAGTCGAGCTTTGTACATCGTCTTCATACGAGGAAGAAAGTTATTCGTATACCAATCTGGGCTAGCAAGTTTAGAACCCGCGTATATATTTTTACTCCCAAACTGATGAAAGAATGCATTTGGAACAATGTTGCTGATGTTCTGCGTTAGTACGACAGTATCCGGATTCTGACCAAAGTCTAAGCCCGCACAGGTTGTGCTTAACGGCAATGGGAAATATGGTGAGACATCCTGACCACCATACGGCTCCATGTTCGCCTTTGCTGCAGGTTGCCCAAGGACATCCGAATGACCTATCGAACTCTGCCAAAAGTTACTCAAATCGAATACGCTCCCTCGGAAACTAACCCACCAGTCAGTATCGCCAGTATGGAAACCAACTTCATTTTGAGAATACACCTTGTCGTCACCGGCACAAATCAAATGACCAAAGAAGACGATGTAAAAAATGATTACGGCAGAAAGGAGGAAAATGAGAATACAGAGAGTAAATTTCTCGCGCCAAGCCATCCGAATGTCAGGTCGCTTCATTTTGCCAATATACGTGAGCATAAAGCTTGGAATCCACCAAGTCATAAGCCAGACAAAGCGGACCCACCAAATGCGTATACGGGTGACGGGGAGCTCTTCGATTTCTTCGTGGGTTTCTACCGCCTTTTCATCTGCTTTACCTATATCGTGGGTATAACTGTTGATGTACGGTTTTCGAAACATTAGACATGCATCAACGTTACACAATTAAGTAAAACAACCCAATGACCGACAGCGAATATGCCGGGAACTTTCCAAAAAGAAGGCCACTCACCCAACTCCCCATAAACTCCCTTCATCTTCATCGCCACCATATTGTGTTCCCGTTCCCCCGCTCCTCGAATTATACTCGTCTTCGCTACCAACATGGCTCCCTTGATCATCCAGATAATCAGCTCCAGCAAATTTGGGTAACAGTCGAGATCGCGAGCCACCTTTCGGTACGCTTCGTAAATATCTCTCGTCTCCATCAAACCCGCTAGCCTGACTATCGTCGTCCCTGAGTGCCTTGGCTTTTGCTCTTTCTTCCTTCTCAGAGGCACGAAGACTATCCTCGAGTTCTTTCCACACAGAATCTGACAAAAACACCATTGACCTACCCAACGCGATGGATGACTGGTCCCATCCGGATATTGTAGCAAACGTCTCGACTTTCTGAGCATCGCTACGCGATGGTTCCAGGTTCAAAGGTGCCAAGATAGACTCATAACGTGCCAAAAAGTCCTCAAACGTATAATGAGCAGTATACGATGTCTTTAAACGAGCGGTGATATCGGGAATTAAAAAGCTTCTGACTTGGGCTTTGACTTTTTTTGCGTCATAGTTATCGGGTTCTTGTGAATCATTGGGGCGGATTTGGAAAACATTCCACAGACGAGTTTCAGCAAACGTCTCTAGAAGTTGGTTCAGTGTTTGATATAGTTGTGTAGTAACTGTGCTGACACCAGATTGTCGTTTCGAGCTGCCGTCGTCTACCTTTTCCGATTCGCTTTCTACCTTTTTCTTTGGCTTCTTCATGCTCGGAGATCTCATTGGTTTGGTTTGTAGTTGAGCCATGACGACCGTTTTGTCCGATCGAGGGTGATTTTCGATAGATAGTGCTGGCCCAGAGAACAGTTTGTTGATAAATGGGTTAGTTGTATCTCTGAATAAGTTAACAAAATCGGGCGATAAGGTGTCAAGATTCTTATCCATAAATTGGTCGACAGAGTATGTTACTTGTCCTGTAAAGTGACTAATTCCGAACGCGCCTGCTTTAGACGAAAACTTGGATGTGGATGGTTTAGCTACGTATGATGGGTGGGAAGAGTATGTCTTTTGAAAAGCGGCAAGTAATTGGCTGTCAGTGACTGTTTCCTTGCCACTCTGGACTTTGGCGCATTCTTGATCCAAAATGCCTATTAGACCACCTGGTTTCTTTGACGACTTGGGAGGATCTCCCCTAAGTAGTTTTACACATTCCTTATTGTCCATAGTCATTATTCTTCTTACCGAGACGCCATCATTTTTTAGTTCAGCATTTTCTCCGTATAAATCATCAAAAATGTTCTTTACTACGAAGTTCTCGATTTCTTCTGTGGCAAAGTTGGCAGTAAATTGTTCGAACCCATTGCTTGCAAAGTTTTGGTATCCCGGCTGATCCAACAGTCCGATAAAGTTTGGTGGTTCGTCCGACTGGATCAACTTGGAATTGATATGCTCTACTATCCACGTAAACAAGATCGAATACAGGACTCTGGCGAGTCCGTCTCTCTGTTCGGCGGCTGCCTCGGCATTCAGGAATACAGTACACAGTTCTTTCCTGATGAATTTTGCCCTATACGTCAGCGTTGACTGCAACTTGGCAGGCGGCACTCCCAAGAGTCCAGCAGCCGACTCTAAAACATGGTGGTTTTTTATAGCCGCGGCTTCGTCTTTTGCATTCTTTCCGGGGTCGACGAATTCAACGTTGCCTAATAATAATATACCGGTGAGTAATTGCCAAATTCGGCTTATTGTTCTAGGTTTGAACTTTAACGTTCTTAATGCATCACGGAGCTCGTCCATCTTGATAGAGTCGTTGACATCACCGATTTTATAGCATTTCGATTGAGACAGATAATGATAAGAAGATGGATCTTGTAAACGCAGTTGAGATTTCTCTTCGCTTGTAGCTCCGGCCAGTAAATAGTAGAACACATGATAAGTTCTTTCGTCTTGTGGGACAGATGTGACGCGTGGTTTATCGAATCCGTATGTTAGAAACTTTGTTCCAATGATACGGCCTCGTTCGTTGAATTGCAGCTCTGTATATTTTCCATAACGTGATGCGTTATTGTTTTGCACTGTTTTTGCATTGCCGAACGCTTCGAGAATTATCTGTGCATTTTCTATTTGATTGGATATTTTTGATTCTTTCTTTGTGTGTGTGGAGAGAAGAAGAAGTTGCTGGATGAGATGATTGTGACTCGCTGTTTTTCCTGATCCCGTGATTCCGCTGGGGTTAAAATTGGGTAGAGTATAAGTTTTAGTTCAATTCTGTGGGCAAGCCCGTTGTATTAATTGCCAATTGGTCTTACTATTATTGCTTAATTCATACCTGAAAATGACACTCTGGTCTTCGGCGGATCTCCTCATGTGCAAGTATATTCTCGCGGCCAATTCATAAATGTGAGGTTGAAGATTAGTCTTGTTGCCACTCGTGTCCTTGTACCATTGTTCAGCGTATTCCTTTGCGTTAACGTCGTTCATACATTCTAATGGCTTGTAAGGATTAACAGTAACCAAGCACGAAGCACTGATACGCGTATAAGGGCAATCGGCTCTATGCCTGGCACCTAAAAGCTGAACGACTTCTTCATCTGAAGTGCTCGAATTTGCAGAAGCAAGCAGTTGAGTGAGGTCAACTCTATCGTCGGTTGGGATTCCCGAGGCTGGACGATTTGTGGTGCGAGACTTTTTCTTTGGCATTTTTGATATAGAGTTTTGTGATGTATAATATTAGTATTGGTCTAGGTAGTTTTATTTTATTTTTACTAAATTCTCAGTGTATTCGCTGAGTATTCAGTTGTATGTTATATTATTATAGTAAATATAATCCTGTAAGCAAAGCATTTATTAAAGATTATATGTTGTCTGCTCGTCAGCAACACGAAAAACAGTCGCCAAAGAAAGACTGGAAAAGTTTAAAGAGAGCAGAAAGACAAGCGGAGGAAAAGATGGAGCAGGGGATGTGTTACTGTATAAGTAGTGGGGGTTACAATAAGGGATATATGAGGGGGATAATTGAGTTGTAGAAAAATTCTGGTACTAAAAATACACTTTGACCAATGATGGTTGCAGACAGACTCTATTTGTGGATGTGTATAATGTGGGATAAGTGCAAATGAAGTATGGGTCAGTAGAGGGAACGATTATAAATAGTATAAAAAAAAGCAGAGTATTAATCAATCAAATTACAGCAACTAAATTAAGAAAGAAACAGAAGCGAATACCGAGGTATATATACATGTAGGCTGTGTACAGAATGCACAAATAAGTGATTCTCTCACACATTAATTGAGAAACGGTCATAAAGTCTGGTGATTCTCATTCCCTCGCTTTGAAAATAATGGAATTGTGCGACAACTAAAAACAAACAGTTGATTGTCTAGTTCTATATATACATTTGCTTTATAACTTTATGGGTAGCTAATATTACTCTATCTCTTCTAGTTTGTTTCTATGTCAGCTATTCCCACATCAACGGGTCAGGAACCCATGCTCGATATAGTAAGCGTCTCCGAAGGGCTATAGTCTTTATTAATCGCCATACTAAACAGTATCGCATGCTGGCCCCAAGACACATGTATATTTATGTGACCAATCATATACGATTTATCCAATAAATATAAATTATGTAACCTGTAATTTTCATTATTATTTGTAACAAGATTCTTTTACGAGGATATAAATATATATATGCGTGGCATAATGTTATTTTGGTCAAAACCGCTCGTGGACTCGTTGATAGTCAAGAACGCTGTCAATCAGAAATTAGAATGTTAGTTCTAAACTGATATAATTTACACTCTGGAGCTGCCAAGACTTTAACGAGTTCTTGCTAATTGGTGGATGATCCAAAATTAGAACTCGGGCGATAATCGATTTTAAAAATATGGTTTGAAAATATGGTTAAATGGCACGGTCATGACCCCAGGTTTTAAATCCTGTTTGACATGGAGGATGCGTTCTTGAGCAAGACTTGTGTGTTTGATATTCTTTTGTACGCTTATCAGTCATACGATACATCTGATAGTATAACGCCCGTATTCGTATATGCTATATACACCCTTGCCTCGGACGCAATCATTTGCAAAAAGTTAGTCATCATCACTCATAAAGCGTAATGTTTTCATTATTCCTGCCTCAAAACGTTCGCTCGTCGTTTCACCCATCATTGGCCATAATGCAGGCAATTAATTTAGAAAACGCGAATCATTAAATCTAACATGCAACACCAATATGTTGTGTTAGCGAAAACGGATAATTTAATGAGAGGATCTAAAACGTCGAACCAGCTGTTTAGTAACCATTAATTCTGTAGTGCAATGTTTCACTTTCGATGTGAGATTCATGTTACACGAGACGTCAACTTACAAGATGGCAAAATCTATAAATAGTATGGCGTTGTGCCTAGAAATGATAAGGAACTTAAAAAGGAAAAGGTAAAAGGCGAGCAACAAAGAAACAAGATAAACATAATAGATTTCATTTAATTTGGGTTGTTCCTCTTACTTGTCTGGCCGCATCTCCCATTTTTGCTGATAGAACAAAAAATTGCTTTATCTATTAATGACGTCATAATGACCATTTGTAAGAGACCCCTCAACTTTCGACATGTCACGCGAACTGTAAATTACGTTAGTTTATAAGATTGTTGTTATGACCATTGGTATTAAAGTTATTATACTGTACGTTGAAATCGGTTGGTGGGTGTTTATTAGTAGCTCGATTAATTCCAATTTCATAATTCTATGCAAATACAATCAATCGTTATAATGGATAAGCCGATGATTGCAAATTTCTGTTTTCCATTCAAAATATCATCAGTTCTTGTATTATAGTACTGCGCCCCTTCGCCAAGAGTTATAACCACATGAGTTACGTCATTATATCTTGTGTGATTGTATCCAATGTATTCAAGTTTATGTTCAGGTGTTTGGTCATCAAAGGGATAGACTTAAGTAACTGGTCGTATAAACTAAAGCGCCTACGGCTAAATTGGGTACCGCAATTCTATCGACGAAAGACGACGCAATCTTTCGTAGGGGGAAGTTGTGGTCTTTTGTTGTCTACAATGGTGAATCACGTGTTATACCCACATGACATCATAATTGCAAGTTCATCAGTGTACAATCATATCTATTCCAGTTCTATTGGAAGACGGAATTTTAAAACTTCTAACGACTACCATGACTTTTTTAAGACGACCGAGGCATCAGGAATGGAATTTCTTCATGATGTGTTCGACACCGAAATAGGACACGAGGTCGCTGCTTGCCGAAAAGATTTGGATAAAATATTATGCGACAAGTCTGTCCCTCGTGCCGTCCAAGAGTACATTAGCGGTATCTTGATACATTCCCACGCCAGTACAGTCGTGTTGAATCATTTTCTACATCATTGTCACATACCCAACAGACTGAACGCAATAGCAAAGTGCACTAAAGGCCTTGAAAGAGTTTTATTTTTCGAGCTTACTCTTGAGCACAGCAAGTCGATCATAATGACTTGATAGACAAACCACTTGTGGTCCATCGACAGCAAGTGGTCCTTCTAATATTTAAGCCCATATTTACAAAGAAGATATATTTTTTTTTGTCTATTTAGAATTGTCTTTTAGCATAAATTTTTAGTAAATGAATGGTCTGAAAGAAGCAATTTATGTGTAGTGTAGGAAACAAAAAGGCTATCCCGAACGATAGTTAAATGTTAAATGAATACATATTGTATACTATATTAAGGACTATCGCTTCTTATTCTGTTAGTTAATGTACGCCAATTATAATCCTACGAAAAAGGTCTTTTCAAGCAAAACCTATAATTGCCAAAAATTCAATTTTGTTTAATTAAAAACTTAGTATACCATGTCATATAGAAACTTTTGTACTTTCTGAACGTGATTATATTAAGCAAGCCACTAAATGTCCTTTTCTTTTCGGACCATCCACATATTTCAGATGTACTACTACTATGCAACTTTCACATATGGACAAGTATTCTGACTAGATCCATTGTGCATAGTACATTATTTCATTGTATTAGTATCAAATCATTGTGTCTTCAAGATGTAAAGACCACCTGGAATCCCTCCCATTCAGGTAAATTCACCATTGTTCACTTTTAATTCCCGGTTTGTGCAACCATTATCTAACCAATTATATTATTATTATTTATTCTGTAAAATTAATAAACCATTTATGACTGGACGCGACAGTAACGATATTATGGTTTAATGCATAAGTTATTAGCACGCTCTGAATTCGCACGTGAATATTTTAATTTTGCAACGATTTAACGGATTTATAATTAATCAGAAATCCGTTTTCACTTACTATTACAAAAGCACAACTTCTGACGCATTAAATTATTCCCGCCATCAAGTCATCGAGATTTTGCTTTTTTTATATTCGGATGGTAGTTGGACCGTTGGAAGGCTAGTCCATAATTTCTGGAGTATTCTCACATAAAATTCGGTATTCATTATCCATCGAAAGCAAAGTATTAGTATGCTTTCTTTTTTTGCTGAAAAAATATTTGTTTCTTTTTTTTACATCAACAATGTTTGTAAATTCATTGCGCACGTAAATACTATATTTCCATGACATAGTCCCTCGCTCTTTTTTGGTTTGGATGATTCTACTCGCATACATTTTCACTCGTTCTTGGGTGTTGCCCATTAACTTTGTACGTTGCTGACGACTTTTGAATAATCTTCACGTCACATATATGCAGGTGGCCCCAATCATCCAATACTCGGAAATTATCCGCCTGTATGTGATGCATGCGTTGAAAAAGATGCTTCATTCATTAGAAATACAAATTGATCAAAAAAGACGTTACTTGTTATGACAAGTGTAATATGTTACATTGGATTAAAAAATGGGGGAGCATATATTCAATATCTTATGTTACATTTCATGCCTTTTTTCATCCATACACTCACAGTCATTAAACGACTTGATGAACCTATATAAATAAGCACTTAATTATTCATACCTACGACTCTATAAAATCCGAGTCTTTTGAATACATACATACCCCAAAACACTACACAAATGCCATCCACTAACCGTAAAAAAGCTCTACTCGTCTCCAGGGACCTATCATTAAACCTTCTCCCCATCCCATTATTGTCGATAGAATACATGTAATCTTTTATCAATATAACCATTTCTAAATACTCCATATAATTTCGTGCCATGAGATAAAAATTCGGGTTAATCATAAAATTTTATCGAATATTAATCTTTGTACAATTACTAACTTTATAAGGGAATTATGATGCTGAATGAATATGAAAAGCTGTGAGCCTAAAGTGTCTTTTGGTTTACATTTGAAATGAAGCCTCTTCTTCATGAAATGCTGGTGCTCGCCTCGCCTGTTCGAACTCGTTACTAAAAAATGTTTGGCAAAGAAACGTGTGAAATAACAACGTAATAAACTGACAGACTGTACATGACGCAGATAAAACAAGCTCCCTCTCTCTACCTGTCATCATCAGGTGCAGGCCGCCTTCTTGCCGGACGGTTGTGCTCTGGTTCTCTACAGCCTTGTTGATCCCTCGCAGAGTAGATGGGTTCGTATTCCTGTGTTGAATCAACTTCCGGCATTAGTATTTAATAAACCTCCGTCTCATTTCCACCCTACCCCCGTCCTTTGCTTCCTCCCCCCCGTTTCCTTCAACAAGGCATAACGCTCACCTTTAACTGAACCTTAAACCCTTCATTTGGATTCATGCAAAATCTCCTATTCTGCACAAACGTATATGCGCATTGATAATCCATTTTCGCCGTCTCCATGACATATGCCACAACAAACGCAGGACTTCTACTGATTCCCCCGTTACAATGCACAAAAACTCTCCCGCCACTATTCAATGCCTCGTCGATAAACTGTTTGGCTGCCGGAAAATGCGGGATCAGTCGCTCGTTTGGAGAATCCGAAACTTCAATCTCGAAATATAAAAAGTGTTCGGGAAATCGAGGGCGTATGATCCTTTTTTCGGATGCGTCTCGTATGGAAACAATATGCGTGATGCCATTGGCTTTGAGTTGATTAAATTCCTTGGAGTAAGAGTAAGGTCCGAGAAATAAACCCGGAAGGATTTCTTGCATTTGGCGGCGCATTTCGTATCTGCGGCAAAAATAAGGGAAGTGGGGGAAGAGAGAGGGGAGAGAGAGAAATGGGTAAGGTAAGGGAAAAAGGAACAACGGCTTTCTTTCTGTCTGTGATTTAAAACCATGTTTTGTAAAAAGACGAGACGGAACATAGACATTGATACTTCAAAACTACGCCTCATTTCTTTGTTGCCCTCGTCATGTTAGTAATCTAGATGAATATAAACCACGACACACCCAAACGAGACACAACATGAACGCAGTCCTGCCTATTTTAAACACTTGTGTTTCTTTTCTTCTCGCAAACTACCAAAAATCCCCCTCTCCCCTTCGCCTCTTCCCCCAATCAAGTCTGTATTTTTACGTACTTCCAGTCGAGTACAACCTGGTTGTTGTTGACAAGCGCCTGAAAGCTTTGCGTGGTGCTTGTATTCCTCGTGGGCGGTTGCGAGTCGACCATCATGTCGTCCATGTTTGCGGCAAAAAAACGTTATTGATAAGAATGTTGATTAAATGGTACTGACAGACTATTTGAGGATAGTGTGAGAGGACGTGATTTCGGCCCTAAATATACGTACGTAACATTTTCCTCGTCTGTGTAACATATGTGTATGTTTATTAATAATAATGACACGTATTAATCATCCGAAACAATCAAACATGGGCAAGAGGTAAACGGCAGGAGTAAGAAAAGAGCACTTTATTATATATCGTGAGCACAATATATGTCATGAGCATACAAGAGATAAGATTAAAAGCCGACTGGAGTCGCTGAGTATGTACCTTTAAACGTCATATGGTGACAGCAGCGGTAATAACAGCGGTCATGGAATTTTTTTCGTGTCACTTGGATCGGGGTTTTTCATCGACATTGCCCAATCGATCTTATACAGGTTTGTCATGATGTACAAGAATAGCTAGCTCTTCATATACCTGAGAATTCTGTGCATAATGTTTTTATATCCTTTGGTTATTACAATCACATTTTCCATTCACCTTGATCATTACTTTACATTATTTTTTGCTTTATTTTGCTTCTCTTTGAATGCAACACCGAATTGAATCAAAAAACGCAAGCGACAAGTTCTACTAGTAATATTTAAAGAATATAAATATAATATATACAGTATAGTAATATAGATCTGCCAACTTTAAAAGAGATAAAAACACTAACTCGAACCAACAAAAGAATAGAGAAAACAAACAATCTTTTAACTCAACACCAAAAAACAATATTGACTGACGGGCTACTCCAACCAATCTGTTCGGTATTCTCATAACAGCTCCCGAACCAACAAGTTAATCACAAATGAAACCTCACGGAACACAAAATCGTTCGGGTGGCAAGGACGGATGGTCCGGTTGGAAGATGGGTATCCATCCACTCGTGTATTCAGGTTATCGAACAACATCTCTTATTCACCGACTCCATCTTCATCGTACGATATAAACTCGGAGAAGTCTTGCTCAACCCCATCTGCTGTCTCCCATTGCATATTACTATCGTCTACGTAAATCTCCAACTGGAATGGACAAGTTTAGATTTTAGAGGATTGATTTGTAACGGCTATGCACACCCAATCACATAAGAAATCCCTCAACCACACGCACGTACACTACACGTACACTACACCTACACCACACGTACACCACACCTACACTACACGTACACTACACGTAACCACACGTACACCACACCTACACCACACGTACTCTCTGTCTTGATAATCAAAATCACATCCCCCATCTCTCTCTTCCCCAATCCTTTAAACTTACATCCGCATAACCGGGGGTAAGGTTTGGTTGCGCCTGACCTTGTGTCGGCACTTGCGCTTGCTGAGATTGCTGTGGTGCTTGGTTTGCAACAACGTCCCCATTAACTATGTTTGGCTGTTGAGCGGCATCATTCGCATTGGCGTTTTGCACAAAGTTTGTGGGTTTATTTGCAGTCTGAGCCTTGCGTATGAATAGATTAAGGGCAGGTAGAATAGGGAGGGGAGGAAAGAAAATGAAGGAAATTACGTTCAAATTTAGTACACTGGATTATTGAAAATTGGAATATCTCGATGATTATCAAATGAAAAGAAAAATGTGACCGAGTACGAGAAAGGATATGCAATTTCTCCGTTTCTTTCTCTCTTATACCCGCTGATTTATTTTAATATCGAATCAACCTCTATCCTTACTCGTCTTCTTACCCTCAGTTCCACTTTCCCTCTTATACCTCTCGAATATTTTCACTCTTGTCGTAACCCTCGACATTCATTGCTCTTTCCGCTTAAAATCCCCTCACAACGCCCATACCTGATTCACAGGCTTCTTACTGTCCGGCTTCACCTTATTTCCCTGAACAGCATTTGTCTGATTTGGCTGCGCAGCCATAGACGGTACTTGTGGCACACCTTGTTGCTGCGGTTGAGCATAGAGCACCCTCGGCGCCGCCATGTTACCAGTGGGAATTAATAAACTATCGCTTGCGGTAACTTGGGTTGGGCGCTGTTGCTATATACCAATATAGGCAAGTTGAGGGAAGGTGGAGGAAAGAGGAAGCGAGGAAAGAGTTGTGGATAGAGGAAAGAGGAAAGAGGTATGGATAGAGAATAAAGGATAGAATGAATGACGAAGAGATCAGTCTGAAGGTTCATCGTTCTTGACATGCTTTGCCAGCAGATTGAAAATTATTGTAAATGCTCTTTGGTATAAACAATAATTTGCGCTCTTCAACCATCTCCTTTCCATTCGTTCTTCCTTCAGGACCTCCTTTACAGATACGTGCCTATCTTGATTCCTTGCTAAACTAACTACACCCTACTTTACCCAACCACCAACGCCCCAAACACACCATGCATCTTTTTATCTACTTCACCTATACTATATTTACTAGCAAATACTCACCGGTCTCACTCCACCAAGGTTGTAAGGCGGTCCGTTCGCAATAACGTAAGGTCTCATATACATTTGCTGTTGTTGTATTGCGTTCTTGTACGCCTCGACCTGTTCAGACATAACATCGTGTGCATTATGTCCAATTAGTTGTGATGGAATTTTTGTTTGACCCAAAATGCGTCGTTGATTCATCATTTGCGTTTTAACTGCTTGTTGTGCCCGTACTTGCGCCATTTGTGCTACTTGCTGCGTTTGTAATGTTGCCTGTTGGTGTTGCTGCTGCATTCAGAGATTGAAGAAAATATAAATTGCTCGTGAGAAGCCTGAGAAGTAGCCCAAGAACAAACAATTGCATAACAAGCAACGAGTCATAAGCCAACCTACCAAAAGTGATGTGCCTATTTGTTGAATTTGGGTTTGAGGTTGCGGTCGAGGTGTTCCTTTAAGACAAAAAAAACGTTATAAGACATTGACAATAATATATATGATGTTTCCCTTATTAAGGCATAATTCAACAATTGACGCGTTATGACTGAATGAATGTTCCAATTCAATTGAAATTAAACCCCTTTAATTCACTATCTCTTACTTGGAGAAGTAGCCGAACCCATAGCTGGCGATCCAGCAGCTTGCGCGTCCGGCCGTTTAGTCGCCGCGTTCGGTACTTGAGGGATTTGTATTTGCTGTGTTTGAGGTGATGATTGTCGCAACATAGCTTGGCTTGCTTGAGATGGAATGCGAAGCATGGTTTGACTTATGGGAGATGGACTTATGAACTGGTTATTTCCGTAACCAGGCCTAAGATGAGAAAAATTGAAACACATACTTAGTATTGAAGATGAAAGCGAGTATAGCGACCGTACTATAAGCGTAATCATAACTACGACGACGACGATGATGACGATGGTGATGATGATGATGATGATGACAACAGCAGGAATCATGGCTTATAAAATAACATGTATAAACCGTCTAAAGGTCTTTTCCCCCCCCACATTCCATCAACATCCAAATTCAATTAAAACTGTTTTCGTATCAGACTTACATTAATAGCCGTTGTGGCTGCTGCCGAAGTTGCGTCGCTTGTTGAAACATAAACGTCCTATTATCATGCGCTGATAATTCTCCATTCGCTGCTCCCTCTGTAACGATCAGTGCACCGTTTGGTAATGATCTATGGAATTGTTGGTGTTGCAAGTGACCCTGTTGCACTTGAGCTTGTCCTTGTACTTGGACTTGAGCTTGTTGCAGTCCTGCTGGTACTTGCTGCTGTGCTTGTTGTGGTGTTTGCACTTGCTGTTGCGGCTGTTGTTGCTGCACTTGCTGTTGCTGTGCTTGTTGTTGGGCTTGTTGTGACTGCACTTGTGCTTGTTGTCCAGCTTGTGGCTGTACTTGTGGTGTTTGGACTTGCTGCTGCTGCTGTTGTTGCTGCTGCTGCTGTTGCTGTTGTTGTTGCTGTTGCTGCTGTTGCTGCTGCTGCTGTTGCTGTTGCTGCTGCTGTTGTTGTTGTTGCTGTTGTTGTTGTTGTTGTTGTTGTTGTTGTTGTTGTTGTTGCTGTTGCTGCTGCTGTTGCTGCTGCACTTGCTGTTGTGCCTGCTGTTGTGCCTGCTGCTGAGCTTGTTGCGCTTGTGCAAATCGGCGCTGATGGAACGCCAGACTCTGGTGAGAAAAACCAGCAACATTTAGTGCCTGCTGACCGGCGGAAAGTGGTCGCGCTAACATTTGATGATTCAAATCCGGTTGCTGTACTCCCCGTACGGTATGTCTCGTCTGCTTTTTTGATTTTGCGAGTTTAAAAAAAAATAAAGTAAACTTTAGTAAATACAATAATGAAATAAAAGCATGGTCATATGAACCGATAAATATATGTCGGTTTGAAAAAGCTCGACCACTTGTAAACAATCCCACGCCCTCTCCTCTCATTACAAGCGACTAATACATTCAAACTTCAACCAGCGGTGCTCTTTTTCTATTTATCAACTTTGATTTCAAAACAACACACATTCCCCTCCTCTATGCCTTCCCTCCTCTATGCCTTTGCTTTCCTTTTCAAGTTCGTACCTCGTTAGGAATATGCATTCCAGACGCAATCGCTGTTCCGTTTTGTTTCTTTAATGTAAGTTCCTCCCACAACATTGTAAACCACTCATACAAAAAGCTCTGTGGAGCTTCGTACGGTAGTTGCACGTTAGGCAAATCGCTACCGTTATCAGTACCCGAAGATCCCTCGTTCTTTTTTGAAAGAAACTCGTAGGGGTCATGTTCTCTCAGGTACGGCAGCAAAGCTCTAGCGCTGTCTATAATGTTGTTTTGTTTGAGAGTGTCGTATATGTAAAAATAGATCATGATGTTAGGATCGAGCCGAGCGTTCGGGACTCCATTTCCCTGAGGAGCTCTGCGTTGCATTTGCGGAACTTGGGCAGATGGTATTTGTTGCGATGATTGCAAAGGGTTATTTTGAGTTGACATGGTGGTTTCTGTGATGCAAGTCTGTTGTATGTGTTGTATTGTGTATGATCTATGTTGTTTATATTAAGTTGAGTGCTCTACAAATCGGTATTATTATAAAGATTGGAGCAATGAGTATTGGATATGTATGAGACTACAAGCATAGAGCACGGAATAAAGAGTAAGTTCAACCTGGAGTAGTCCGATGAGCGCATATATGTTAAAAAGAAAAAGTCAGCTGTGTGTGTATGATGACGAATGTGGCGGAGTAACGGGGGGGGGGACAATGGAGATGTTAAATGCCTGTTGAGATTTTTATGGGGGGGAAATAAAAAGGGTTCGTTTGCAAGAAAAAAAATAAAATAAAAAATAAAGAGATGTTGGAGGCAGTGTGGAAAATTATACCAATCCTGTGGTCTTCATATTTATGAGAAAAGCTGAATTAATAATTATCATTGTTAATTTTTAATATAGACTATCTGATTATTATTATTAGGTGATGCAGAGCATTATTAAATTGACAAAAAACCTTTTCACATAATAATAATAATAATAATAACATACAGCCGTTGGACAAACGCTGGCTCTACCGTCATGGATCGAGACATGACAATTAGAACGAGAAATGTCTATTATCATCATTGACATCAAAAGGTAATCAAGAATGGTCAGTTATATTCCATAATTATCATCTTCATTATTGTTATCCCCTCGCTCTTTTCTTTGTGCACTGTTTCGGAAATTCTCATTTCCTCGATTTTCCATTTCTGGAAATATGCATCTCCATCACAGCTTCGCTCCTAATGACATCCGTTCTTTTGACCCGTTTGGCCAGATATAACGTCTGGGCCCATACACAGCTTCTTCAAGCCGTCAAAAATGTCAGTGACGAACATTACAAAGCTCACGCCGGACTTTTCTTTAGATCAATTCACGGAACACTTAATCATTTGTTACTGGCTGACAAAATATGGTTGGTACTTTTGGTCGTTGGCTTGGTGGTTAGGAGAACCGCTAAGGGAAAAGTTCTGGTAAAAAGTTCTGGAAGAGGTTGACCCATAGAGAAACCAGAAACATATAGTCTATCGTCTTTCTTTATGAAAGTAGACTGCTGCTTTCTTGTAAAATCGATATTTGTCCCTTTGGTACTCTCAAATGCCCAACTCCATGCGCTTGATCCCAATCATCAAAGCAACCTCCAACATTTTATGCAATGGGCGTTGATTGTCAATGTGCACTTGAATGATGTAATTAATCACATGAAGATTTTTTCCATTAACCATTTGCATTCATTTTTCAGGTATGCTCGTTTGACATCTGCAATTGATACACATGAATATGCGTCGAACCGCGAGTTTTGGGTGAAAACCGAGGGCCAAGACCCACATGATTCGACCGGATGCATTTGGGAAGAGTATATTACGAATCGGAAAGAGTTGGAGAAGATGATTATTGAACAGGTGAGGATCGATCGAGAACGTTCGATGAGATGATCAAACAGTTACGCGTTTTCATAACTATTTCTATATAAAATAGGCCAAACTCTGGATCCCTCTTGTTGCGTCTGAGCCCGATGATCTAACATTATCTTCCGCTGTGTTGGAACATAGAAAAATGGGCGGTACTCTAGTTAGACGAAGTAAATTAGAGTGTCTTATTCACATATTCAATCATGCCACTCATCATCGAGGACAGGTTTGTGTTGATTTTACAATGGTTATTGGGAGGTTCAAAGAGCGTAAGTTGAATAGCCAGCATGGTGGGGGGTTTTTTCTTTTCACTGATCGAGCTGCATGTATGGATAGGTCACTGCTGCTATTACTCGTTTTGGATATAAATCTCCTGTATTGGACTTGGCAGCTTGTCCTCCCGACTACGATCCTGATGAAGAATCATGATCCTTTGTGCTAATTATTATTATTGGTTTGATTCGTGGTTAACGTTGTCGTTATTCTGTCGTGAATACTTTAATACTATAAAGATTTGATCTGCTTTACTTTATCATAGTACAACCTGGTTACCAAAGTGTAAATAAAGCACGTTGATGATGTCTATAAGATATAGCGGATTTTACTATTGAATTGTGATGCGGTTCGGATGAACGGAATATAACGAAGCATTGCTCAATACCACGGAATTATAATGGAAATGACCGAACCCATATAGATCCGATTAAAATGGCATGAATCCGTTATAACCGATAGTAATATTATTATCGTTATTAACAGTACCGTAGTGTAATAAAGATCAAGTTGTAAAATATTTGCAAACGCTCGACAAAAAGCTCCAGCAAAAGAATATCGTATTTTACCCAGCAAGTTTCAGACATTGTCAAGAACAGAGGTCAATGATTATCTATTGAAAAGGAAACATCAGTAGAATGACACATGAATGAAGCGATGAAAATTTGGCAGTATATTGCCTCGCAACGAATTAAATATGTCAGATTATTGAAAAGCTAGCAAATATATTTTATGCTCAAGTTTTTTAAATAACCGACTAAGAAAAGACGATAGATTGATGACATTACAAGTATTGCGTAAGAGATTTATGACGGAAATTTCTTTAGGCAAAACAATTTCATCTTTATATTAATACAAGAAACATCGATACGTATCATTTAATAAAAATACAATGTAAACAAAGACACCCGAAAACTATAAATTAAAAGAAAACATACTATTGTTTCCATCGAAACGCGTTGTCTCCAACTTCTGGAGTTGCTAATATTATTTGATTCTTGAATCTTGAAATCAGACGACGTGAACCGACATGCCACCAACAGTCCCTGTTAAGTACATCCAGTACCTGTTGGACGAACTGATATTAAACGATCACTCATAGTCAAAACCAGTTTCAATTCAATAGTCAATGTATTCTATCTCCATCTCACGGCTTCGGTAACGGAGAGAACACTTTTTCAATAATGCGGCGTAATTTTAGACAAATACTCTGTGAAAATCTCACCTTCGTCTATTAGCTTTTATTGCAAATTGGAGTGACTAATTTTCCACGGGCTTATGATGCGAATCTTGGTTTCCCCCCTCGAGTAAGATATTCAACACTTTTCGACAACCGTGATCAAGGTTTTTTCAATCAGTTTCGACGTTGTGATACTTTAATAAGTTGCACCGTGTATGTAACGACCAAAAAAAATATTTATTGAAAAAAACTAGAAATTGTACTTTTTATGCTGGCAAATTTGGTAATAAAGAAAACCCGCTATATTAACATTTTCTGATTTTGCGGATTGCCACAATATAACAACTGTCCTGTGTAATCCGTTACATCGACTTGCATGCTCATGTTTATTACTTAAATTGGCTAATCAAAAACGAAAAATTGATAAATATTAGAAGCTAACAACAAGATCAGTTTGCTGAAAGCATAAGAGATTTTTACCCGGGAATTTTTTTGATACAAACGATTTCACGTATTATTTGCTATGTGCGACTAAATTATCATAATAAAGTCAACATCTAAGACAGCGAAAACAACCAAACAAAGTAAAATTACAAGAAAATATATAATTGTTTCCATTGAAATGTGTCGTCTCCGAACATGTGCGATAATTTTGGATACAACGTTGCGTTGCTAATATTATTTTATCATTGAATCTTGAAGCCAGACGACGTGCTTCTTTAGAAAACCGATGCGTTACTAAAACCGCAACAAGACCTGGTGGATATTCTTTAGGTACGAATCTCCGATTTACACCTAGTTACAGCGTAACTCCTGATACATAATAACTCCATTCCAAATACTCGATAAAACTCTCAACCCCTGCCTATTAATGTTTCTCTCTCTCCAAGCGCAGGCATTGACTGTCAGCTCGCGTTTTTTGTAAGCCGGTTCCGACGATCTGCATTAGGAAGAGTTCACTGTACATTGTTTTCGGTGTCTCTCATAAGCAAAGAGGAGTTTCTGACCGTTGAACTGGCTTGCAATTAATTACTATCGACTTTTTCATGGCAATTCGAACTGAATTTGTGAATTAAAAGAAGTGACAAACATGTATTTTCCGTTGTAAATAATGCGTCACACCGTGTAACATTTGAAAAGTATGGACGAAGATCTTGTTACATGACTAATCAGATTGACTTGCCGTAACAAAAACAATCAATCTTTTATTTTAACCGTCATAACTAGAATTTTATTCGTTCTCTAACAATTAGAACAATAATTTTAATTAATTTTCGTGATAAATTTCCGTGTCGGAAAAAGATATATATACTCATATTTCTGTTATTAAAATTAGGCGGAAAAAAATATCGAACCATTTTTGATATACAGTGTTGGATTAATAGCGGATAAGATATTTTATCCACGGAATATTGAATATGGCCTGTGAAATCGAATTACGTTCTTTCTTCTATTGTTGAAACATTAATTAACCAAATTTTACCTATAAATGGCTCACTTAAAAACTGTAAAATCAAGACATAAACGGCCCCTTCAAGCCGCTAACCGATTTGCAAATAATGGGACGAGAGACTATAATCAATACAGAAACGATTATTGTTCAAAAAAAGACAGGTGAACGTTTACCTCGACTAGTCGAAATGCCAAATCGAAGTTTGCCCTGTTAAATTTAGATTAAATAATTTTTCTTCGACTTTTGTGGCATAATAATTGTTGTTGCTATGATATCATAGATGCGTTAACACATCGTATAGGTAGATGGAGTTTGCGAAAGGATTAAAATCATAAGCGTTTGCTTAGATAATTTTTACAGTATTTTTAATAGCTTGCTGACAAAATCCGGCCGTTGAGATTAATCTAATTTGGAAGTTTTTAACTGAAATCGTTAGTTATAAATTCTTATCGATGAGTTTTTAATAATCGCTCTATAAAATCTTGATAACACAAATTACAAATTGCGAAATAAAAGCGGTTTGATAATGATGTTCAAAAACAATTCTTGGAAAATGACGAGATATGGTCTGCAGAGGAAAGGTTGAACAATAATAAATATTCTAAATGTTGTATAGTTTCTTTAATTCTGAGAAATTAATGACGAAAATCAACAAGCCTCCCGTCACACGAGTTACATGTAGTAAAAGGATAATGTCCCCTTTCAACTTTCGGAGGACTTATATATAGCCGTTTAGCAAATAATCCGGGTTAAACTCCGTATAATAATCAAAACAGCAGCGTGTTTATTTATTTGTTTAACAAGTGACGAGTTCGAGCTGTATTATGTATTCAGAGTTTGCGTAGGCTCGTTTGCTGTTGCCACGTTGTGAGCATGAGTTTCAGTTAATAACTTGTGTGGCGCAGGTGTTGCGTATTACTAAATTCGTTAATATTAATAAAGCTGATGCTGAAACTAACCTTGGTCAACCAATCAAAGTCATGGTTTCAGCATCAACGAATTTCACGACCTCTGCGGGTAACAAGCGCCTTTGGATTGATTCACTATGGCATAACGATGACGTGAAGAATAAGTATGATACCTATATACAATGGATAGAGTACAGTATCTCTATTACTATTGATGAACATAAAAAAAGACGATTCGCAACGCATAGCTTTGTTGTTTCCAACAACCGTGACCAACAACCGTTCCCATATTGCTCCTGCGTTGTATGTTCTTTGAATTTTTTTTTTCATAAATAATGAAGGTGGAATATCGATAAGCTGACCAGCTTAAATCCCGTATTTTTGCCTGCACTCCCCTTTTCTGAATCAGCAATACAGAAAAGAAATATGGTTGAAGTACTGTCATTTACTGTCATTGTATTTACCCTGCTCTACACCTTTAATTTTATTAACTAATCCCATCACCCTTGTTGCTGGAGATTGTAAGGATGAGAAAGTAGTGTGTATTTAGTTAACAATAACCAGCGACTTACTTTTTTGAATACATCAATATCATCATTATCGAGAAACAGCACATCTTTATCAGACTCCAAAAAGCGAGCGATTAGGTCTCTTGAATGAAAATATGACATTTTGATTGGCGCAAGGAAAAATTTTACTGCTTCCTGAGATAATAAATACTAAATTATTTGAAAATCTGCACCCACCCTACAAAAACAAATTTATCGTATGGTATAACCTAACATACGCGGAATGCATTCTAATAAGAGGCCGATGCGTGCAATGTAACACAAGTAAGGGTTGGCATCTTAACTTGAGAGATAAGATTTTAATTCAACTCTTACTATTAACATGTCGTTATTTGCTAATAATCCAGCCATTGCCAACTTGGTTGAATCCTCCTTGGAAAGCGAAAAGAAGTACTTGGGACTGAAATGGATTCCTTTCGAGGAAATCACCAACGTAAAGTCGACTGAAATTGACAACGTCTACTGCGCTATTCGCAAGCATGATGACGATGATGAGTATGAGATTATGTTACTGTTACTTGGAAGTAGTGAAGAATGCACACCAACACTTGTGAGTGAGCTTGCAAGAATATACTCACTTCCAACACACAATTACAACAATAGCATTGATATTAATCGGTTCGGACGGCATGCAAATTGGCTTAAAGAACGCAACAGCCTCATATATGGATTCACCAAGTCTAATGACGATAACTATTACATGATTGCTGATAAACGCTTTTACCATTGTTATTCTCGATATGGCTTCTGCTCCACATGTGGAATACTCCGATGTAGTCCCGTGTGGTGCATTTGTGGTTATAAACAATTATCCGATGGGTGGACTAGCAACAATCACCAACTCGATGACTTTATTAAGAAATCTCAACTACAAACAAACTCACCAAATGACGCCTATTTGGAATGGATTCCATTCGATTGTATTGGTGATTATGGGACATATGGATGGTTGTATGGTCTACCTGCTTACTATAGGGTTAAATTAATTCCGCTTGAGATAACAGACGAGACAGATGATTTATATTATGCTGAGGTAAACTATTTAC